CTTTTCACGTTCTGTTGTTACTATTTGTCTTAATTAGCATTTTTGCCTACTTATTATTCAACTTGCTTTGCAATCATTCATTCAACTGAAGATGACAGAAGTTCTGTCGAAACATGTCTTTTAAACTTAAAAAGTGGTCGTTTTCCTTAAAATCTTTACATGTCTGCTGTTATCTAGACCTTAAGGGGGGAAAAATAACAAAATCGACTTAACTGTCCTGCTGTTTGTATAACTTGTGTTTTTATGGCGTTTGGAGGGGTTTCAGTGGGATTTCAGTGGGCTTTAGCTTCTCTGTATTCCTCTCCCTAGAATACAGAAATGCTGAAACCCACTGAAATCGCTCTGAAACCCCTCCAAACGTCATAAAAACACAAGTTATACAAACAACAGGACAGGTAAGTCGATGTTATTATATTTTCCCTGATTTTGAACTATTTTGTACGATCGTTATATTCCCATACAAACTCTTATAATAACGCTGTTACGCAATGACATGTTGACGGTTCCAAAAGGAGCTTGGGTAACCTGTGGTATTCAGTCTGGGAATCGGAAGTCAGAATGAAGGGTCGGCCGTTCGAATCATAGTGTGGCCAGCTTTTTGTTTTGTTTTGTTTTGGTTTGTTTTTCTCCGAGCTACTAAGGGATAATTTGCGTTTATGAAGGAAAAATGTTCAAGCAATGAGTAAAGTAATTACATAAAACAAATGAGACGATATGGAAATTTGAAATAATTTTTCACGGAAGAAAAGCACTTCTTGAGTGAAACCCTCGCACGTGTTTTTGGCAAAATTTCGGTTAAAAGCCGCTGTCAAAGTAATTGAGCGATTGAATTAAACAACTACCTTTGTTGCATACCAAATAGTCTTTATTTGGGAGCGCTTGTTCGACTCCAAACGCGAAAGATCAGTTTATCGCTTTGGTAGCCATTCTGTTCACAATGGTCGGCCCTCTCGCGAAATACCCTGGTCAGCGGAACTACCAACAAAAAAATTGTTTACGGCCTATCGACTGACTGAATAGAGTGACTAACCGACCGAGCGAGTGAATTATTTCTTCCCCAACTAACTGCTTTAACTCATTCTACCTACGCTGCGCTAGCAATGACTCGTTAAAGATATTGTGTGACAAGCATAGAAATAGGTACCCATAGAGTACGTGTGCACTGGCTGGAGAAGTTGATTTGGAAAAACGGGAATGTAAGGGAATGAAATTAGAAAGAAAATGACTTAAAAAATTGATGAGTTTTAGGGCGAATGCTTGCATTCTGTTTCCTCTTGTTAAGAATTATTGACAAATTTGTTAATTATTGCACTTGTCATCTCTCGTTGTTTTTCTTTCTTTTTTCAGCAAATTGAAGAGTAAAAAGTGTCCTTCATTAAATACGATATGTTTATCGGTAACGCAAAAGCAAAAGGAGATAACGTATACAGGTATTGAACGTTCAGTGTGTAGGTTTGAAGGGCAGATTGCAGTTCCGCAGTCCCGCAGTCGTGTTGTAATGCTGCTCGCGCAGTCCTGCTGTCATGTTCTAGTTCTGCTCCCACTGTCCCGCAGTCTCCCAGTCCCGCACTCCCGCAGTCGTAAAAACCGCTGCTTAAGGGCCCATTAGCCGATTTATGCGCGCGCTCGCGCGCGTTGCTAAGGAGGTGAAATTTCACTTC